GCCAGTTTTACGTTCTTTCTTCGGAAAATCCAGCTGATGATTCCAGCTCCTTAAAGGCTAAACGTTTTTTGCACCATTTTCATCCCAATAACTCAAGAGGTCTAAAAAGATCCATAAAAGTTGTATCGTTTTCACACTATAGCGGAGAATATGACTTTAAAGTTCCTTTACTTTTATTATTTCTCATGCCTCAACCCGTTCCCGAGACCCATGAGTCCCACCCGAACAAAAGTGCTATACAGGGTTATCCAAATTAAGTGTCCACCATTAGTAACTTTGTTATTAGTGAAAATACAAAGTTGTTTGAATTAGCAAACTAGTAGCATTTTTAACGCTGGTAAAAATGAGAAATAAAAAAAACAATTGAGAGTCGTTATTTTTCAGTAAAATAACATTTTTTTAAATGGAAACCCCTGTATATTATATTTTTTTCTGTTAAAGCATCAAATTTTAAACAAAAAAGTTCATAATGACTTTTCAGCTAAAGTCAAAAATAAAGTCAAAATAACGATAAATATTTTTAATTATTTGCAGTATTATAATATTAAGACGGCTATGAAAACAACATGGCGTTCGCGATTTGACAGCATTAAGATAAGCGACAAATTGTTAAACTGGACATACTCGCAACTAGAAGGCTTTGGAAAACAATGATAAAATCAAATAATGTCAAACATTAGTGTAAATACTTGTTTATAAGCTTTATTGTGTCATTAATTTAAAGAAAAATGTTCTCCCATGAAGAAAAGTGTGATATGTTAGAATGCTATTTAGTGTGCAGAAAATCCTCCTTGAGAGCAAGAGAATACTACAGTGAATTATATCCCGCTCGCATTCAACCGTATGAACGATATTTTCTGAGACTTTATCGACAATTTAGGGGCAACGAAAATGTTTTTGCTAAAACAAGGGCAAAAAAAGAATTCATAATAAGCGAGGCCACGGAAATTGCAGTTATTGGATATTTTGAAGCTTATCGTGAGAATTCAATAGCAGCTATTCTCAAGGACTCTAATTTCAGTTATGGTACTGTTCAAAGGATTTTAAAAAAATACAAATTTATTCCGTATCAGTACCGACCAGTTCAAACGCTTTTGGCAGGGGATCCAGAGAGAAGACTTGTTTTTTGCCATTGGTATCTTAGCTTCTGTCGCCAAAATGTAAATAACTTTCGTTACCTTTTATGGACAGATGAATCAAATTTTTCAAATTCTGGAATGTTTAATAGAAAAAACCACCATTATTGGTCAAGAGAAAATCTTTTGTTAGTACATCCAAGAGGCCCACAAGTCCGTTTCAGTTTCAACGTTTGGTGCGGTATAATTGGTTCAAAAATTGTTGGCCCGTTCTTTTATGAGGGAACCCTAACTGGTGAAAGATATGTGGAATTTATGTCAGAAATTCTGACTAATTTCTTAGACGAATTGGATCTTATAAGTAGACATCATCTGCATTTTCAGCAAGATGGCGCACCTGCCCACAACTCCAGAGGTACTTATCATTTTCTAAGTACTACTTTTAATGATCAGTGGATAGGAACAAATGGCCCAATACAGTGGCCTCCCAGATCACCAGATCTAAACCCACTTGATTACTTCTTGTGGGGTTACTTAAAGAACCAAATTTACAAGCGAAGGTACGATAACCTTGACGCGTTAAAGACTGCAGTTAGGGAAAAGATAACCCAGATAGATGGTAGGACCATACTTAAGACAGTTCGAGCAGTTGAAAAACGTGCCCAAAAATGTATTGAAGAACAAGGTGGTGTTTTCGAGCATCTTCTTTAAAAAAAATTGTTATTGTATTTTGTAAGATTATAAGTTGATGTTGAAAATAAAGTTTGTCGATACAATTTAATTGTTTCAGATTGGAGGCCATAACTTCAACAATTTGTAACCTAGGAGAAAAGTTATTGTAAGCTTTTTTGTTTAAAATTTGATGCTTTAACAAAAAAAAAATATAATATTTAAAAAAATGTTATTTTACTGAAAAAAATCAAAATAACGACTCTCAATTGTTTTTTTTATTTTTCATTTTTACCAGCGTTAAAAATGCTACTAGTTTGCTAATTCAAACAACTTTGTATTTTCACTAATAACAAAGTTACTAATGGTGGACACTTAATTTGGATAACCCTGTATACTCGTAGATACGCAACTGGTTTAGGTTTTTGATTTACCTGCCAGTTGGTAAATGCATTACTCTCTAGCGAGATGACAAATTTCCTTAATAAATTCTAAGACCAAATAAATACGATTTTGTGACAGGAAAATCTAGCACAGATGGTGTACTAAGTCTAGTGAATCAAATTACTCAAAACTTTGATGAGAAAATTCCACTTTGTCTATTTCTCGATCTGAAAAAGGATATTAGATCACAATTTACTGTTAGAGATTTTAGACAAATTAGGTTTTCGTAGAAAAATATATTCTTTAAAGCAAAGGTATCAAAGAGGCCTCAAGTAGTGAAACTATCACTATCATATAGTAAGGAAATGTTTGTCAAATGTGGTGTACCTCAAGGTAGAGTGTTAGGCCCTCTTTTATTTAATATCTATTTGAAAGATATATTCAAAATTAGCTGTTTGGTACAATAGTCTGTTTTGCTGATCTGGTATGGTGTGAAGAGAACAATCGAGAATGACTCTTGTAAAATCATACATTTTTTCAAAACTATGAAATTAACCGTGAACTTCGGATTTCCAAAGTATTTACTTGTATTTACAAGTTTTCTATCCTTTATATCATTTATGCAAGACATCTGATTATTAAAATCTTTGCTTCAAAAGTATAAATTTAAAAATTGACGTGGACAATATCAAATATTTAAGAACTTTTTCAGAAAAAGCATTTGAAGTTGAACATTCATGCAGCCTGCATTTTGAAGAAAATAAGGTTTGTTACACACAAAATTAAATTCCTCACAGGCATATTGACAGAGAATTATATGCCTACTATACAGGGTGACTTCGAAGTTGAGTCATTTATTTTAACAGTGAGTAGATCTGATCAAAAGAAATGTTTTTTTCCTTTACCATTTTTCTGGTAAAATTAAAGTAACATAGTTATAGCCCTTTGGAAGTTTGAGTACCGCCCTGTCTCAATAATAATATTATGTGCTCGTGTTTGGCAACAACGGATATAATCCGCCTTATCGGTTCATCGCATCGGAAACAAAAAAGCGAAATAATTTGGAACGATGTTTTTACAATTATTGTATTCAGTTGTATACAGTCAGTGTCAGTCGGTAACGCGTGAGTGAATAGTGGTGTCTGTTGCGTGGCTCAAACGAAATCAAAAATGGCACATGTTTACGAAAATGCTGAACTTGTGGACATGATTCTTATTTACGCGGCATCACGGATTTATGCGGATTGGTTTCCCAATCGAGTGCAACCAACCCCTCGTGCCTTTGTTAATGTAGTACAAAGGGCTCGTGAATCAGGTGACTTAAGACCTCACAGGGGAGGGCATGCCGGTGCTCCAAGACCTCACGATCCAATACAAGTCCGCACTGAAATACTTGTCGGGAGGATACTTTATAAAACAAGGTAACATTTTTTTTTTAATTTTTTTATATTTTTACACACATATTTTGGTTTATCTTCCTTCTACAATCATTATCTGAAAATTAATGACTCAACTTCAATTGGGCCGCACATAATGTATGGCATATTAGCGTGAGGTACAGCATGTCGAACGTATTTAAACCATACAGAAGTTATACAGAGAAGTGTCTCGAAAACTAAATTCAGAAAATCAAAATTATACGCAAGGAATGATTTATACTTCTAAACAAAATTATTTGGTTTCAAGCATCTTTATTTCTCACATATTTATGTAGTTATCAGTGAGCGCGGTAAAATCACACATTGCCATGACACTTGATATAAATTACGTGCAAAAACTGTCCCTAAACCTCATAAGACCATCACGAAGCGATCCTTTCTCTGTTTGTCTCCAAAATTATTTAAACACGAAACTTATAACAATTCCTGAATATACATGGTTTATTGAATTTATTTAATTATTGAACTCATATCAAACATGTCTTCTGCATATAGTATATACCTTTTTGAAATAAACGTTTCTTTTAACTTTTCTGTTTTGTTTTTGGAATCTCACACGTTCCAGCATACAACTGATCCATGTAGAGGCATTCTCCTTTTTAAAACATATTTATTTATCCATTCTATATTGTTATTATATTATGGAGCGCATAAATATCTTCTACTACCAACGTTACGGCTGCTAGCATTTTTCAGCAATCAATACAAAAGATAATGAATACAATTTTATATTGGAAGCTAGGGCGACAAGTTTCCATTCGACTCAGATGAGATGTCATTTTGTTGACCAAATTGAGAGATGGCTTAGAATGACAATTATTATCACAGGATAAATTTTACAATCAACTGTAGAAAATGGGGTCCCCTTTTAACATATAATATACACAAACGCTTCCAACTGATCTCTGACTATAGAAGCACCTCCAGTCCAAAGTCAACGACTGGATTATCTGTATTCCTCGCAGTTCAAGCAACAAAACGATATCATCAATACATTACAACGTATCAGCCAGGGGCCACATTCGTTACTATTTATATCAGAGATCATGAATCAAGAGCAAATACTCTAGAGGTAGAAGACCTTGGCGATTGATTTCTGATATTTGCATGTCAACACCTTCATTCTGCCAATGTAATAAGCTTTATTGCAACCTTACCCAGGAATTCGGTAGGCTGCCTTGAAACAGATTCCAATATTTTTTTGGCAAATAGCTCCGTTTCATAACACGTGTGCCTATGAAATTCCATATCTCAACCGGAAAAGCTATGCCACAAAAGAAAAACTTGCTGACGTGGCTTGATATATCTACTTATCGAACATGCATTGATTTGTAATGATTATTTTGAGTAGCTAGGTACAACGTTGCATACCAAGTAGATTACACCATAAATTCCGCGTCAATTTGCGTATCTGGAAAATGTCTAAGCTTACCTTGATTTTTTTGATGTCGAAGCACAGAAAAACATGCACTTGTAACTAGCGGCGCGGGCCAAACGATGGATTTGTGCGGTTTTCGGTGAAAATATTGTTTTGAAACGTCCGCCGACCGTCGGATTTTGTGAGCTGAAATATCAAAATTACAAGCATCGGGTGCATCGATGTTACTTCTGCTAAATTTAGACGACGCCTAGACAGTGCGGTAGAATTGGGCTGGGACTATATGAATCTGTGACCATCGACTAGCTTCAGCGACAATAGCGATACTTAATGGGCATTGCACTGAGTGCACTCAAGCAATTTTATCACACGGTGTGTTATCATACGTATCTTATATACGTCATAGAATAGTCAATCAATAGAGTTTAATATGTACTAAGGATATACCGAGTACTACTCCAGTGGTGCACTGACTGTATACGACAGTACGGCCATCTCTTTTGTACGGCTCAATGGTTTGGTGGCCTTGGATTGGAACCGAGACAACTAAGGTCAAACTCAAACTCAGCGTTTGGCTTGTACCAATATTACAAGCGTAGTGCGGGCAACGCCAAGTCAAGGCAGCTGGGCCTTTTTGAATCCTGTTCAAGGGTCACACTGTCATCTTAGTCGAATTGCAAAGGGAGGATTCCATCCTTCTGAGCAGGGGTGATCTGATCATCCCTTAATATCGCTTTAGCTGCAAGTTTAATGTGGAATATCTGATGAGGGTGGAGTGGGACTCCGGAAGCCGGACTACCTCTGCCTCTTGGCGGATACACCACTATGTTCCAGGCTAAAATCTATGCGTATCACTGGAGGGGAAGGGCATAGGAGAAGAATAACAATCTTCTCCGATATCCAGGCTGCGATGAAGACACTGAGCCTTGTATTGCATTGCAGGGAGGCTCTGAATAGTCTAGCAGCGAGGCATCCGGTATCATTAGTGTGTATACCGAGATACGCTGTGAGAAAGGGCAATGATATAGCGGATGCTCCTGCGGAAGCTGGATCAGCGGGCAAGCTTGTTGGACCTGAGCCAGCCCTAGGAGTGCCCGCGCAAGGAATCAGGAGGGAAATGGAGAAGTAAATTGCTAGTCAACTCTCTAGGAAAATAGAGTAGCATCTGTGGACATCTTCGTTGGGCTCTAGAGCTCATTCTACGGCCCAGTGTTAAGGACAGACGCTTTTGCTTACCTCAGGTTATTAGTGGGGCCAGCCTCTAACCATATTACGATGAGGCGCCATCTGCTTGAAATGGGGGTGACTGAGGATCCCATGTGGGAGCGCTGCGGGGTAGAGAAAGAGTCATCGGCGCTTGTTCTGTGTCGTTCTGACGCGATACAGGCAGACTATACAGGGGTCCAACACTTTGGATCCCTAGAATGATAAAGAGCTGGGAATCAGGGTTATACTCAACTTTGCTAGGAGGGCGGAGCTTAGGGCTTAGGAAATGAAAGGATGCATACGGGCAAATTTATGCGCCTTATGCGCCGGCTCCTTTTGGTGGCCATTATGCCTGTCAAGTAGTCGAAAAAAAATCTCTGAAGCCGACAATCACTTCAAGCAATACTCAAATCTCGTTTTTAACGTCTTTTTTCAACAGTAGAACTGTAAGTTGTAGCAGCCTAGAATCGTACTTGATCTTGAAGAGCGGAAACTCTCCATCAAGAGACAGCAGCTGTTTGGCGGGTAAACATGAACTGCGGCTTTTTTTGGCTGTAAGTGTTCCAAGGAGAAATGATCCCACAAAGTACACGCAAGTTTTTAAAATTAGGTTCTTGATAGTAAATCAAATATTCCATACATATTTTCAAAAGATGGTATCTTGATAGGAAATCAAATATTCCTATACGGCTAGTACGTGCAGAAATCACAAGATGGCGCTGGTTGCCAATGGGCGGAACCAACTCTACGAGGGACCAACGATATTTTATGAGGAAATTTCTGAGATAATCGTTAATAATATACTAAGTGACATATAAATCCGAACACCCAGTTTAAATGGTTTTATTTTAATAAAATTTTGTATAAGTACTTAATGAAGCATAATAAGTAAATGATAAAATTTCAAAATGATTGCACTGCTTTAAAGCCCTTTAACCTTTAATAATGTGTGGATGCACCCTGATATGCTACGCATTCTCCAACGCGCCTAGGCATGCTTCTGATCAGGTGGTCAATGTCCTCCTGTGGTATCTCATTCCAGGCAACCACCAACTCCTCTCGAAGTGCTTCTAGAGTCTGAGGAGGACGTTGCAAATTGAGCAATCTCCTACCCATCATATCCCACACGTGCTCAATTGGGGATAAGTCGGGAGATCTTGGTGGGCATGGTAACAATGTGACATTATTATGTTGAAAGAAGTCTATTGTGACTCTTGCAACATGTGGTCGGGCATTATCTTGTTGGAAAGTTGGATCTGCCAGGGTGTCAAGATAGGGTAAAAGATGGCGTTCTAGAACTTCGTGGATATAACGCTGCGCGTTCATGTTACCTCTGATGAAGATTAAAGGTGACCTGGAACCATAAGCTATAGCACCCCAAACCATAACTCCAACAGTGTGATGAACATGTCTTTCAACAAAAAACGGTGGATTCTTCTTTCACCACGTCGCCTTCTAACCCTGGCACGACCATCGTGCATGCATAAACAAAATCGAGACTCGTCACTAAAGACAATACTGTTCCATTCCTGATCCCAGAGCGACCGTTGTCTGCACCACTCAAGGCGATTACGTCGGTGTTCTCGAGTTAAAGGGAGGACCCAGTGTGGCCGGTATGAAAACAATCCAAAACTTCTCATTCGTCGGTAAACACTTCGCATGCCAATAGGTCTTCCGTGTTCTGCAAACCATTCATTTGCAATAGACCTGGTAGTGGAGAAACGGTCCCTTAAGGCCAATAATCTTAGGCGGCGATCTTCACGGTCTGTTGTTCTACGGCGGCGTCCAGTGCCCCTTGCTCTTTGCGTACGGCCTTCTCGAAGCCATGCCTGACAACACCTAACCACAGTGTCTACATTTCTTTGCACTCTAACTGCAATTGTCCGAAAAGAAAGTCCAGCTTCCCGAAGTCCCACTATACGGCCCCTATCAAACTCACTAAGTTGACGAAATCGTACAGGTCTCCGTACTCTAGGCATCGTAACCGATCGTAAAGAATGTCAAAAACCAAAATCCGCCAACGTTGATTCTTTACTGCGGCTGAAATATTCATTTTTAGAGCGTTAGTGAATTAAAAAAAAGCAGTATAAAAACCGGAATGTCCAACTGATAAGGCTGAAAATTGTTTCACTTGTTATTTACAGTAAGATAAATACATTCACCAACTTTTACTAAAATAAAACCATTTAAACTGGGTGTTCGGATTTATATGTCACTTAATATACTACGAGTATAACATTAGTGTTCAAAACATTTCAACGCAACACTGAATCGCTGAGAAAGAAAGATATAATACGTAATATAATACAATCAATAAACTGTGAAATTTGCCAAAAGAAAATCATTATAATATGCCTAGGAATCGGCATTCTACCATTAATAAAGAAAAATTCAAATGACTGATAAGAGATCAAAATAGTAAAAAGGTGGTTTTAGCACGTGGCAGTACAATGAGGAAAGTGGTGCATGGGTTGCGAAAACGATGCATTGAAAATATCAGCCACACCTAGCAACCTAATGTGATCTTGACACACTACAAATGCATACCTATCGGAGTTCTTTACGCTCACAGCGGAACACTTGTTTCGGCGCCTGGTAAATAAAAAAATGATTTTTTATTTACTCATTCACGTTTGCTTAGTACAATTATGTCCCACTTGTTCAAGACTATAAATGCTCGTTAGTCTTCCGTACCGATATAGCAAATATTTATGATCTTTTTTAGGTTTTCAAAAAACTGCAAATAAAATAGCGGGGGGTGATTATACACGTAGCAGTTCGCCGTCTGGAAATCCATTTTTTTAAATACATTTTGAACGGTATAGTGCTTAATATAACAAAATTTTGAAAGGGTTGTGACCAGTTAGGTCCGCATATCATGATGTAACAAACAACTCATTTAAATGGTCAGGAACAGACTTATTACTAACGAAATATTGATGATACAACCTCTATAAGAGTGGTTCAAAATTATATTTTCAACACCGTTTTCTCAAAAATGCATTATGGTTGATTTTGTTGAAATAAGTCGTTTCTGAAAAAAAAACGGTCTTGTTTCATGTTTACTGTTCAAAGTTTGAGGTTTCGGGTCGTTGAATCACGAATTTATCAGAATTACTGTATTTTAAAAATGGCAGAACTAATATACTGTATCCGGTACCAAAATTAATCAAAATTTAGGCTAGTACAAGCATGAACATAACAACATAAATAAAAGCAAATTTGATGTAGTCACAATAAGGAATATCTCCCAATTCACGCAGCAGACATTAGCTAAATCTCATGTCCAATAAAACTGCCAGTTAAGCGGAAATTGTGCATGATATCCTCATGAGTCTTAAACTAAACAATAGCTTACTATATGCGTTTTAGTATCCAATTTTAATCATGGCAATACGATCATTGCACAAGAAGCTATACTAAGTGACATATAAATCCGAACACCCAGTTTAAATGGTTTTATTTTAATAAAATTTTGTATAAGTACTTAATGAAGCATAATAAGTAAATGATAAAAATTTCAAAATGATTGCACTGCTTTAAAGCCCTTTGACCTTTAATAATGTGTGGATGTACCCTGATGTGCTACGCATTCTCCAACGCGCCTAGGCATGCTTCGGATCAGGTGGTCAATGTCCTCCTGTGGTATCTCATTCCAGGCAACCACCAACTCCTCTCGAAGTGATTCTAGAGTCTGAGGAGGACGTTGCAACTTGAGCAATCTCCTACCCATCATATCCCACACGTGCTCAATTGGGGATAAGTCGGGAGATCTTGGTGGCCATGGTAACAATGTGACATCATTATGTTGAAAGAAGTCTATTGTGACTCTTGCAACATGTGGTCGGGCATTATCTTGTTGGAAAGATGGATCTGCCAGGGTGTCAAGATAGGGTAAAAGATGGGGTTCTAGAACTTCGTGGATATAACGCTGCGCGTTCATGTTACCTCTGATGAAGATTAAAGGTGACCTGGAACCATAAGCTATAGCACCCCAAACCATAACTCCAACAGTGTGATGAACATGTCTTTCAACAAAAAACTGTGGATTCCTCCTTTCACCACGTCGCCTTCTAATCCTGGCACGACCATCGTGCATGCCTAAACAAAATCGAGACTCGTCACTAAAGACAATACTGTTCCATTCCTGATCCCAGAGTGACCGTTGTCTGCACCACTCAAGGCGATTACGTCGGTGTTCTCGAGTTAAAGGGAGGACCCAGTGTGGCCGGTATGAAAACAAGCCAAAACTTCTCATTCGTCGGTAAACACTTCACATGCCAATAGGTCTTCCGTGTTCTGCAAACCATTCATTTGCAACGGACCTGGTAGTGGAGAAACGGTCCCTTAAGGCCAATAATCTTAGGCGGCGATCTTCAC